GTTAGAGAAAGAACACCCACATTTGTATTGGACCCCATGTGCTGCTCATTGCTTAGACTTGATGTTGGAAGACATTGGGAAAATACCGTCCATCTCTAGAACAATGCAAAGGGCAGTGGAGTTGAATAGTTATATTTATATGCGACCAAAGTTGTTGAACATTATGAGGAACTTTACTCACAAAAAGGAGTTGCTTAGGCCTGCTAAGACTCGATTTGCTACATGTTTCATCACATTATCAAGTATTCACAAGCAAAAGAATAACTTGAGAAAGATGTTTACTTCAGAAGAATGGAATCGTAGTAAATGGGCGAAAGAGAAAGCCGGTAAAAGAGTTGCTTCTTATGTTTTGATGCCTTCCTTTTGGAACAACATTGTCTTTAGCCTTAAGGTTTCCGGTCCTCTTACTCCAGTTTTGAGATTAGTTGATGGCGAGAGAAAGCCTCCCATGGGATACATTTATGCGGCTATGGATAGGGCTAAAGAAGCCATTGCAAAATCATTTGGGGGAGTAGAAGATAAATAATCAGATATTTTTGAAATAATTGATAAGAGGTGGAATGTTCAACTTCATCGCCCTTTGCATGCAGCAGGTTATTATTTGAACCCAGAATACTTTTATTCAAATTCGAAAATTGAAGAAGATGAAGAGATTGCAAAGGGTTTGTATGCATGCATTGCAAGGTTAGTCCCGGATGTCAAAGACCAAGACAAAATTACTGAGGAGCTGTCCTTATATTCTAAAGCTGAGGGCCTCTTTGGTAATCCCTTTGCTATTAGACAGAGAAGTACACGAGGACCAGGTAAAGTGGTAAAGTATATTAAGTTAGTATAGCTAAGTGTTAAAATTATTTTGACAATAGAGTCGATAGAAAGATGAAGCTAAAGTTGCTAAACATCATTATTAATTTTTTTTTAATAGCTAATTGGTGGGAAGCTTATGGCAAGTCAACAAAACTTCTCCAAAAGTTTGCTATAAAGGTTTTAAGCCTTACTTGCAGCTCTTCTGGTTGTGAACGAAATTGGAGCGTGTTTGAGCATGTAAGTATATACTATTTAGTATTTACTAACTAGGTTTATAATTTAATTGTTGAAAATTAAAATTTTAATTTTTTATACTTACTAGTTAAAGTTGAATTTATTGCAGCTTCATAACAAGAAAAGAAATAGGCTCGCTCAAACAACGTTGAATGATTTAGTGTTCATCAAATATAATAGAGCATTGAGGCGTCGATATAATATGCGTGACACTCTTGATCCCATTTTACTCGATGACATTGATGAGAGCAACGAGTGGTTGACGGGGAGGATGGATGATTCTGATGCAGAACATGATCTAGTCTATGAAGATGATTCCTTGACATGGGGTGATGTTGCTAATTTTGCTGGTATTGGAGAGGCAAGCAGGCCGCAACGGTCTACTAGATCAAAATCTAGTTCTAGTTCACGGTTACCAACAAAGGGAGCAGGAAGTTCTTCAGTTCGACTTGTGGATGAGGATGAGGATGATTCAAATGAGATAGAAGAGGATCCTGAGAATTATGAATCATTTAGTGACGATCAAAATGATGTTATGCTTATTGATGACGAGGATGATATTTAGATTCATTGGTGTTGTCTTCTTAGGAAGAATGATGTTTATGTTTGTTTTAGTTTTATCTTATACTTCTCCTTAGTTGACTTTTGCATCTTTATGTTAATATGTTTAATTATTCACTGTTTTGAACTCAAGTACTTGATTTACTTGGTTTTGGCATCTTTATGTTGAATATTTAACTTAAGTAATTCATTTAGTTGACTTTTACATCTTTCTATATACTATTGCATGATTTGCATCTTTAATACTTTATTGGGTGGGTTTTGTTTTTTTTTTTTTCCAACGTGCGCCTTGCTTCAGTCGGGCGCGCGCCTCGCCTTGCGCCTCAGGCTCCAGGAGGCATTTGCGCTTTTATGCGCCTTGAGCCTTTAACAACTATGCATAAGGCACATATATGCCAGAGTGCATATATTTATTTTCATCATCTAGCTTGTTACATTGGATGATGAATTATCATTCAAAAGGTTGATCATCTATCGTGGAGCCTAAATCATCATTAACACCAAATCACACAAACAACAAACCAGATGTTACTAGTCATGGAGATCAATACGCTAAAGGAGAAGCAGATCACACGAGAGGATCAGTTGACTGACAATGACAAGAGCTTGAGTAAAGAGTCTAGCGTAAGTCTGAGTCAAGAGATAATTGCTGGATTCTAGGTTTTAGAAATCTAGCTACCGTAGTTATATCCTTTTTTCTCAGAGTGGATTAATTTACCTACACTGGATCACATAATTTTTCCCGTGTGGCTTTCACATATAATTGTGTATTTATTTGTGGTTGCTTGATATTTTGTTTTAGATTCTATATTCAAATAATTATATTCTGCGCTTTAAAAATAAGATATTTTTAGTTAAAATCAAACAAGATCTATAACTCCCCTTTACATTTATTTTAGGCATTGTGCAACTCTGTATATCAGAGCAGTGGGCAACTATCCATGATTCATCAGTTCCCATAAAAAAGCATAATTTTTTTTTTTTCCTAGTTTTTTTTAAAAAAAAAAAAAAAAAAAAAAAAATCCCTCTCCATATGCATAAGGGAAAGAAAAAAAAGGCATAATTCTTCAATTCCCATAAAAAGGAAATTTCTATATTTATTAAATTTCACTAAAAATCCCTCTCCATTTCTATTCTTCGAATTTAACTAATTATTTTGCCTAGTTATAAAACCCTTTAATGCTATGTTTAGTTGGAGGAAAGGATTGAGGAGGATGGATGAGAGGGATTTTTTATGTTTGGTTGAAGGAGAAGGAAAAGAGGGAGAAAGCAAGAAGGGATGCTTCATCCCTCCTTCCTTTGTAATTTTCTATCCGCCCACAATTAAGGGGAAGAGGAGAGAAAAAGAGATAATAACCAACAAGTTCTAATTTTCATTTTTAACCTTCTTGTTGCATACTTTGGAATGGATATATAATTTTTGTAATTTTATAGAATTAAGGTATATTAGTAAAATCAATATAAAACTTTCTTCCCCTTTCTTCCAACCAAACAAAAAAAATGTGTCACCACATCCATCCTTTCTACTATCCATTCCATCCAACCAAACAAAAAATGAGGGAAACATCTTCCCTTCCTTAGGGATGCCTCATCTATCCCTTCCCCTCTCCCTTCCATCCATTTTTTCATCCCTCCGACCAAACGAAGCATAAGGGCCTAGGAATTGAAGGTTAAATAACTTATTTGCATTATGGAACCGTTGGTGATCTACCTATCCAACGAAATCTGAGCATAAACAAAAAAGCTTAATCAACAAAATGTAACAACCTAAATTATTAACAATAAAACAGATACGAAAACTTTCGTCATATTGCCTTGGCATCTCAAAGGCACTTTACGATGTTCAGTATGTCATCTGAGAGTATCAATCTCTTAGATGCATTGTAAAGATAACTGTCACATTGATAAGAGTAGGGGAAGAGTTTAATTCCAAAGAACAGCTAGATTAAGTAAAACAAATAAAGAAGGGATTAATACTGGGAAGTGAAAATGGCCAATAAAGTCACTCTTAAAAATATTCTGACGTAACACTTCAAATTTTAGAACGTGAACTACAATGTAATCAAATTAGTCCTCCTTTCTTGTGGGGGGATCTGGAACAGTTGCAGTGTTTAACATCCATTAGGCTACATGGTAGAGTCAATTTCCATTACCCATTTGTTGTTTCCTCTATAGATCTCCTTCAGAAATTGATTTCCTTGGAAGCCATTCCTCAAAATGGTGATGAAGTTTGCTATTATAGAATGGCCTAAACTAAATGGAGTTTTATTACTCTCATTTGAAGTACTTAGTTCTCCCACATAAATACTTCTCCACCCTGAACTACAGGAGACATTCTTGCCTAGGAAAGAAGATGTGTTTCCTCAAAGGCGGCATATGTTTCACCAAGTTGAGCAGGACAATTAGTACCGTCTCAATGATGGTGGTTCACTAAAATGGCTGGATTGTTCGTAAACATTATGGCGAGCTCCAAGGTTTAGTTTACATTGGCACATAATTGTGCAAATAAATATCAAAAATAAAAATAAAAATTTATATATGTATATATATATAAGTGTGAATATATATATATATATAGAGAGACAGCGAGGAGGAGGGGGGGGGGGGGGGGGGGGGGAACAATATGCATCAGAGTAAGGCTAAATCCTACATGATAATAAGATTTGGGAGATTAACAAAGTGAGAGACTCTACACTCAAAAAATATATAAAAACTAAAACAAAAGATTTAGGATCTACAGAACCGCTTTAGTTGTTGCCTCATAAAGCGTTGCTTGTCAGGTTAGTTCTACAGAGTTTATTGATAAATTGTCACTAAATAAAAGAAAGAGATTGGCTTTACTACAAGTTCATTTATCCACACAACCATTAGAATTTAAATATTTTCTTCCATCGGTAAACCGCTTCCTTTATTGGTTTTGTAATGAAAAGTAGAAGGTGTTTTGCCACATTCAGGATCCTTGAAATGAATCTTAAAGTTAGCCTCATTACAAAAGAGAGTTAAAATACTGAATGTTTACCATCCAAAATTTATAATATCAAACCTCTCAATTTTTTTTTTTTTTTATACGTAATTTCAAACCTCTCATATTAAAACACCATCCAAAAATTCAGGACTTCTCAGTCCCTTTTTTTTTTTTAACCCTATGACTTTAGTACCTTAAAAAATTTTAGAACTCTCAAATTAATAAAACTACCCAAAAAAATATAACTTCTCTCCTATACACGCTTTCTACTACTTCTCTCTCCCTATAGATTTTTATGTTTAATCAGATTCATCATACTTTCAAATCTGCTCATATAATAAAATTTAGAACTACAGTCTACATCTATAATAAATCATTAAGTGCCTTTCATCAAGATAAATATAATCATTAGCTAAATATCAATCACATGGGGTACCTTGCCGTCCAGTTGTTTTTTGGCCCTCTGAATCTCTAGCTGTAAAAAGCATAAAAAAGAATGATTCTTTAGGGCAGAGAACCATAAAATCCAGCATGTATTACAAGCAGGTGTACTTCCTATATTAAAATAAATAAATGACAAAGGTTACAATGACCACCTTGATCTCCTCAGGAATTTTTTCTGAAAGTGACTGTACTCTCAGATATAATGGGTGTAACGCAAACACAGATAGAGAGCTGCATGACCAAGAAAACATGAGAGGAAAAGAAGAATTATGATGTAGTCACATTGCTGGAATAAGAAAAATGAATTTTCATATCCACTAGAGACAAACCACCATAAGCCACATATAGCATGTGATATCAGTTAAGATGTCAATAGGATCAGTTTTGTAATACAACAAATCACCATATACAAGAGGCTAAACAACTTCATAAATTCACTTCCCTCTTTCCAGAATAATATTACGAATCTAAGCCCGTAAGTAGGTCTATTAACATTAGACTCTGGAAGTACACAAATCCTCCAGACTTATGTGGAAATGATCGGAGAGGAAAAAATACTTATCAAAAAAAAGATCGGAGAGGAAAAAATATGACTACTAGCAACGTTGTGGATGAGTTGAACATTTCAGTTTGCAGCCAGTTGCCAATAACCATATAATTTTATTTGCATGGTACTGCATACCTGTACGGATAGGAATCCCACCACATCCCATTTACGGATGTGTCATTGATTGGTAAAAGCTGAACCAAATGGAACCCAGACTCAACAGCCCAGTCTACAAGTAACTTCAGGTCAAGAAACTCTCCAACTCCTAGATCTGCTTCTGATCTAACAGAGAACATAGGAATCGCAACACCAGCACCCCGCCATGGCATTTCCTAGAAAAAGAAATCAACATATTGGCACTATTTTTCTTTACATCATATTTCAGAGAAATTTTACTTAGAAGTTGGAACTACATTCTTAATTTCTTACTCTCATCATGCCATCTGAAAGGAGAATGTATCTTGGTCGACTGGTTGAGAAGTCAACAAAGAGCTCCCTATTTGGACCAGTCTCTAAAGAAAAGTTTCCTGCCTTGCCGTATTTACTGTACTTGTACGTGAAAAATCCGTTAAGGAGAGGGAAAGAGAGAGAGATTCCAAATACAAGAGTAAGAACTGCCAAGTAACTTTTTTCTTTTTGACAAATTAACTGAAAATATATCTAAGACATCCTATAACCATGTTAATCAAGGACAGTCAAGAGGATATTTTATAGGAAAATCTTCCTTCTGCATCACGCAATCTGCTTGCCAAATCGAGTCACCAGCATAGTTAAGTTTAAGCCCATCCTGAACCTTCCACTGGCCCAACTTCATCGTGCTGCCAATCACATAAATCTGCAGAGATCCGTAAAAGAAAGAGTTAAACTTCAACAAATCCTCACTATTCATAAATAAAAAAACACCATTCATTTAAAAAATATAGAAGTGGTGCTTTGAAAATAATGAATTATGTGCAAGTACATGTGTAAAGTACATCAGGGGAAAGAGCTTTTACCGATGTTTCATCTTCAATATGTGGGCAGCAAATTTTGAAATGAACGAGGACTGAATCTGTTTACAATATTCATTTACAATCAACACTTTCCAATCTAGGAATTCAGAAATAAATATATTATGCCCACTGCCCAAGGAAGAACCACAAATTTTGAAATGAGAAGAATTACCTTCCAGGTCCAACTTATTTTGAAGGATCCCAAGGGCTCTCTCTGAATTCAAACTCCAACTTCTGCGAAAGATGACATCTTTGAATGCACTTTTAAAGGGGAGATCATCAGAACCAGTCTGGATCCAGAGAATGACAAACTTTCAGGTGAAGTAGATAACGCCAAACATATAGCCATGCATAAACATATTTTTGTAGAAGAAATATGTTGCCGTAAACATAGTTTTGGAGAAGAAATATGCTACCACGGGAACAATTGTAATTTAAGGGAACTTCTACTAGGAAGTCCTAGCACTGAAATTTGGTTGTGTTGACTAGACCCAATTCAAACAAAGGCAAGAATCAGTTGAAATTTGGAATGCGTTGGATTTCAACACAATAAACAAAAATGAATTTGGCACATACAGCACTTAGAACAAAGTAGAAATTCCAGAAGTGATCAGGATGTAGCGAATAATGTAGCTTCTGGGAGGCCTAGAGCAAAGGGAAAAAGAAAATGTGAATTTTGGCATATTACATTTTTAGCATTTCAAATGATTGCTGGAAGATTATATTTTGCCATTTCATTTTCTGCATCTTCTGAGCAAAGAAGATGATATAATTAAGAAAGCAATATTTTGATTATGTTGCATTCAGATCAAATAGGCATCAATTTACAACATAAAAACAGCAGTATGGACATACAATTTGTAGGGAAAAGAAAAAAAAAAAAAAAATTTATTATATAGGACAAATTTTACAATAATAAAGTTGTCAGAATCCACTAGTGCTCCATTCAGTCACCAAGAAAAACAACTGAAATAAAATACTAAAAGAGAATTCAGAATCTTAGAACTATTAGAATTGGATTGTTTGCTAAATTCCATATTTTCATTTCTTCTCATCTTTTTACCAATCATATAGAGCATGTTTGATAAAGAAAAGACATACCATAATATAAATAATAAAATGGACTTCCGCAAAATCATATGGCACTTGTTCGGTTATTCCTAGTATAAAAGTCAACATAAATTGAGCTCAATCACATGTAGAAAAAGGCAATTGTGCAAGTCAAAGGGACTATATTCTTCATAAATAGTTCCATGAAAAAGAACAAAAAGAAACCTTGGAAGGAATATTTCACAAAGAAAGTGTATGTAGATATAAATATATATAGATATATAGAGAGAGAATGCAAAAAAGGACTAGGAAAGAAGGAAAAAGAATCACCTGCCAAAGATCACGAAGCTCCACCACCTCCCCATCCTGAACCCCATCAGGTAGCCACAGTTTCCTCTTCTTCCCAATCTCCGATCTCAGGACATTTCTGTCATCATCCACCACATAGAAACTGTATTCACATCCGAACCCAGCTGGAACAGCAACACTTCCACACCATATAAGCTCATCACCTTGGTGAAAAGGGCTCAGCAAAACTCCTTTTTTCACATTCCAAGAACCAAGCACAGGCTCCGAACCGCATACAAGAAGGCTCTGGCCCCAGTGGGTATAATAAGGTATTCTGAAGCTCACGTTCACTGATTTCATAGATTTTTGCCCAGAAAACAATACCAAATTCACCATATTTTCGAGAAATGAATCGGGCCCAGATGAAGATTCTGAAAATCTAGCAAAACCCAGAAGCAATTCGTCAGAGTCTACATAGGAGAATAGTTGTAACCACCAACAGATATTTGGAAAACCCCATATGAATTGAAATTCCCAAAATAGAAATTCGGGAGGTTGACTATTTCTACTTAAACTAATTGCAAGATCTAGCAATGCCCAACTGAATCCGTTAGACACTATAGAGAACTAAAAGAAAATGTAGCAAACGAACAAATTACAAAAAACCAATATTGAATTTTATACATTTGCAAATTTACTATTTGATGAGGACCCCAGATGATAAATATACACATATATATATACACAAACACACATATATAAATCTCAAAATTAAGCTCGAAACAATCAACCCAGTTGAACAATATAGCAATGGTTACCTTTGCTTGGATAAAATAAAAAAAAAAAAAAAGTCAGTTGGTTACCGAATTTTGCACGAAAAATGATTAGCTTATGAGCAGTAGTCGTATTGTGGAGAGAGAATAGGGGAATCTGAAAGTGGGGTTTCGTTAGTTTCGAATAAACAAAAAAGAGTCGAAGAAACAAAATTGATATCACATTCTACAAGAGATTTTTTGGGGGCAAAAGAAACGATATCGAGGGTATGTATGGTGGAGAGAAAAATGTGATATCGTTAGTGAGAGAAAGTGTCTTTGTGAGAGAGTGAAGAAAGAGAAAAGGAATGCCGCTTTCACGGGAGAGGGATGGGCTGACTCACTGAAAAAGAGAAGACAGTTGGGCTGAGAGACTGTGTGTGTGTGAGATTCGAAGTATGATTCTACCGTGTGCGCTTCTCAAACAAAAAAAATATGGGGTGATGAAGATGGGATTCGACTCCTGTGTGATTTTTCCGTGTAAGTATATACAATTATTATTATGCGAATCAAAATTGAAATGGACATCAATGGTCACAAATTAAGCATGAATCATTCAATGTACAAAACGATGTTGGCGTTTAGTACGTAATTAAATTCATACAGCAAGGTACAAGTATTGGAGAAGATATATGTCTTTATTTATGCAAACACATTATGAATTCAATTACCTAAATTCCCTTCGGTACAAATTTTTACTTTTTTCTAGATATAAACTTTTCATACAAATTTTGTTGTCATATTTGTTGTAAATATTAATCATCATTACATTGTGGATAAAACAACATTACATCTAATGCATTCTCAAAGTAAATATGTCCTAGTATTGCATCTCAAGGTAAATGTCTCCTAGAAGTATTGTGTGTGTATATATTTGTAAAAATGAAGAGGTGTGGAGGAAAAATATAACAAAATGAACAATTTTTTTTCATTCTGTTGACAAAAAATGAAGAGAGAAAGAATAATGAAAGCAATAAGTCATCATTCTTCCTCTTTTACAAAATTTCTTTCCTTCAGATTTGGGTGAAAGAAAGAAGAAAAACAAGTGAGGCTATTATAGGTTTTTAAAATTATTATTATCCTAAATTATGCAAGCATTGTAAATTACTACTATATTAAATTAAAACACTCACTTTTTCTTCTCTCCTAACTAGTACAATAAATTGTGAATTTATGATTTTCTCTTCCGTTTAATCGAACAAAAGAAAAAAGAACTCAATCTCTTGTATAAGAATGTCTACCCATTCATAATGAAACATAAAACGTATTGCATCAACGACAAATCTTTACATTAGATATATGCCTTAGAAATAATAGAGTTGCAAATGCAACACTTGTAATTTAGATTATTGACTTCATATGTGTTGTTTGTGTGTTTTATGTATAAATAGTTAATTGGATAATACATGGGTGTTGCTTGATAATCCAATTCAACACTTAATTCTAAATAATTCTAAATAGATAAAAATATTAATCCAATTAAGTTCATTTAATAACACATTTTGAATATCACTTTTTTTTATAAAAAAAAAAAAAAAATGTCACTTAAAATAAGATCATTTTTAAATGACATTTCAAAATAATTGTCACTTAAATGAGATAAATTTTTAAGTGACGATAACTTCAATTATTTATTAATGGCTAACATTTGAAATAAAAAAAAATTAAAAAATTGAATTAAATTCAATCTACAACTACAATTTAATACTTAAACACCTAAAATTAAAAAATAAAATAAAATAAAATTTAAAGTACTTAATATTTATTTTTATCAAACAAAAACCTTACTAAGAAAATATACCGACATCATTCATGCACTTAAAAGTAATTTGGCGTTGAAAAAGTGAGCAATATTCTTGAATTTTGGAATTATATATTCCAGATATTTGTAACCCATTGTCAATGACATGTGATGAGACCCCACCAAGCTAGTGTCCGTCCATATCTCTATCGACCTCATGAATCACGTCATATATGAGAAAAATAAGTTGCCCACGATGGCCTTTCCGTCCCAAATGAGGACCAAACTTTACCATTTTACCCTCCAATCTTCGTGCATCCAACTTTCCTTCCTATCCTCCTCGAAGACGCCCTGGAGCATTGCATTGATTTTATTTTTTTTATTTTTTTTTTGTGCTTAATAAACCACTTGCCTCAATTTTCAGAAAAATGACCAATTTTTTTGGGTAATATTAGAACTCTAACTTGTGACTAACAATTCTCGTAAAATCGTTATTGATAAGAAATGTCAATTCTTACCAATTGACAGACAAAAAAAATTTCCACTGAATAATTGAAATGGAAAATTCAATTCTTACCCTTACATGAAAAGAAATGTACAATAGTTAAACCAAATCAGAAAAACAAGACAAAGAATAACCTAAAAAGGTCAAAATCATACAATACAAAACCAACCCAAACATAAACATAACCAAATTTATCCACTATGAGAATGCCATAACCAACACCGAAAACATTTTGCTTTATCTGACCACATCCTAACACCATAGTTGCAATCAGAACCCAACCAGCAAAAACTAACCCCACCAACCTGTCTTAATTTTGCACAAAAACACTCGAACCCGCATCTTTAAACATGCAAGTCCCAAGGTTTTTTTTACCATTACACCAAACAATGACACTCAATCCATAGATAAACCATGATGATGACAATAAATAAAATTAATTACAGACTAATTTTTAAGTCCTGCATTACCATTGAGCACTGATTTAGCAACTTCTTTCCCACTCACAACACCATTTTATTTAGAAGAATCACAACATATAGAAGTTTATAGATTATCTGGAAATGAATCATCAAACATGCGTGTCCCTTAAGATTATTGAACTTTCTTAATCTGTGGCCAATCATAAAATTGGTCCTAGGCTCCTCAAAATGAACCACATGTTCAGATCATGCGTGCTTGGTGGGATGTGTAATGTGAAGCTCAAATTCAAGTTGCTATCATTACCTACCGCATTCTGGAAAACTGCAACACTGTGTCTTCAAGTATTACCCTGTTTAAAATACTAAGATCTCCCAGCCAAAACCAGCGAAAGCTTCATGAAATTTGACAGAACAAATGAAATGGGAAAAGGGAAGCTATATAGCTACAAGAAACCATACCTGAGGGGGGCTTGAAAGATAATTGAAACAAAAAGGAAACGTGGTACATTTGATGGTTTTCCCTTCCTTATGTTTCTGCAGAAGAGAAATCACACACAACACCGCGGCAATGCATGTTATCAAGGGCCTGTCACCTCTGTGACTTTGACCCGAAAATGCATCTGCCAACTGATTTTTTTTTTTTTCCTTAATCAAATATTTACACGTACAAAAACAACATATATCCACTCAACTATGAGGCACGCCCTATTTGCGTTGCTTCCACTTCCAAAGCTTCACCAGCATGCTCTTTTCATTGGAGCGGAATGCTACAAACAAGTGGTTTTTCAAGTACCATAGAAGTTATATTGCTGGAAGAATAGAATGCGTCTCACTGTCTGCTTCTATAAATGTAATACAAGAGCCAGAAACAGCGGAATTGCCCATAAAACAGTAGGAAGACAACCTGCAGAAGCTGCAAAAACAATATGTTAATTTATGAAACCAATTCCATGTAGCAGGCAACTTAGAGAACAGCTTACACATCGAATACAATGAATAAGATATACAGAAAATATCACACTAATTAGTATAAAAAGGAAATTGCATTAAATTTATAAAAGCGTAAATCTGTATTCGGGAAGAGAGAAAAAAAAAATAATAAAAAATAAAAATAAAAAAGTGGTGAACAACTGTACATCTAAAAATTATCTTATCAACCACCCTAATGCTTCTACATTCAACAGCTGACCTTCTATACAAAGAAAAAACAGATAAAAGAACCACAGTCAAAACAACCAAATTGCTTCACATTTATGGTAACATATCAAATTGCATTTAAACAACAAAATCAAGAACTTTAATATAGACTCACATGAAGATGGCGAGGGTGAAACTGATGGTGCTATGTCCGGAGGATCTGCATCAAACTCACTCGTTGATGGGGGCTGAACGTGAGAAAAAACTACATTTGGCAGTGGACTCGATGCAGGAATTGGATGGGAGACAGGTGCTGGTGGGTTCACTGGCTGATGGGGTGATGGAGCAGTATACGGTGGAGCAACTGGTGGCACAACAGGAGGAACTAAGTGAGAATGCTTTTTAGTCTTCCCTCGAAACTTCCTTTTACCAAAATGGCAACCAGGCGGCCTTGCTTCATGACTACCCACAGGCGCAGGTACAGGGGCAGGTGAAGATGTGGGTGAACCTTTCTCAGTGGCAGGTGCACTTTTCTCACTTGAAGGTGCAGGCGCAATTGCAGGAGTAAGATGGGCATCATGGTGATGATGGTGGTGATGGTGGTGGTGGTGGTGGTGGTGGTGGTGGGTTTGAGGCAAAGGAACGGGAACCGGAGCGGGAGCAGGTGATCCATCACCACCAAGGGAGTGTTGCAGTATAGATGAAAGATGAACTTGTTTAACCCTACCAAATACAGTGTTATTCAGACCAAGATTTTTTGAGTGAGAACCTGTGATGGTTTGAGCCAACTGCTTTATCCTAGACATTGAGGGAGCAGTCCGAACTGCCAGCAAAACTGACGTCTGAACCGTCGTAGGGGGAGCCACTGTTGATCCTTTCGAATTCGTCAGGCTGATATACAAGTTCTGTATTCCACAAAAAGAAGCAATATCAGAATCAGCAGGTTAGGTTTCTAAATTGCCATCTGTGTACACAAATAATTTAAGAGTTTCAGTAGGTTTTAACAGCAACTGAAGTTAAAAGTGGCATTTTATTCAAAACAACAAACCCCTTCTTGCGTACAAACAAATAAAGAGTGTGTATCTTCATAGCACTTTTACAACCCGGTCATGCAACAATTCTCATGTATGTTGAAGAAACTAGCAGGGTAGACATGGAACCACTAAAATCACACTAGTGCTTCTGGTGAAAAGTCAAAAATAGCATTAAACTTGGGTTTTTTGGGACAAAACCACCCTGAAATATAAAAAATTTGCACGATACCCCCTTGGAATAAAATCAACCTCCTATCCCCCAAACTATTGATAGTTTGCAAATAAGAGCAATATCCTAAACGTTGCTACGTGGCCATTAAATGCCTCTTGAAAAATTACTAAGTCACGCTTAAAGCTGCTATTTGCACAAAACCCCCTTGAAATACTTCTTACAAAGTCCAAATATTTGACCATTTATTCCTTAACAATAACTTTACGAATAGGAAAAAGAGAACTCATGTAGCTACCCCATCTGTGCGGGATTAAGGCAAGGATGATGATGTGTAACTTGATAGAAGGAAGTGTCTTGCAAAACTTTTAGTAGTTCAGGATAGTAATCTGCCAAAAAATTATTTTGGAGGGGGGGGGGGGGGGGGGGGGGGCCGAAGGTTTAATAATAATAATAATAATATTAAGGGGCGGGGTCAACTTACAACTGGTGCAAGGATAGTTGTTTCTACACATAATTTAATATAGAATTTGTCCTTCGTCAATCCAACCATTGGTTATCTAACTTTATTATTCTCTCAAGCCTGCCAAATATCAAATTAAATTGATGTAATAAAGTGCCCAATCCATGAAATCATATTTATCCCAACAATTTTTTTTAAATAAAGCTTAATTCGAGGTTTGATGTTGATTAGGCACATTTGAATCTCTGATTGAATCAAATTTTTGGCACGTATAACAAGTATGAGCAAAACATTTAATCCAACAGTTGAATTTTCAATAAATAAAACCTAAAGACAAAAAAATAAATAAATAGATAAAACCTAAAAGTTATTAATGGGTATAAGATTAATTCATTATTACACCTGATGTAAACTAAATCCCTCTGAATAATAATAGAAAAGAAGAATATTATTGCCAAACCTCATATGAAGCAAGACGTAATCCCGACTTCAGCTGGCTTGTCAATTCATTGAAATTATCTTGTATTTGACCAATAGAGAAATTCAAGGTAAAATTAAAAACGATCTGTACTTTTTGCAGAAGAAATGCACTCTGCGGAGGAATAATAGTAATGCCTCCTGGGAATTTCATCACTTCAAAAGAAAATGGTTCCCCAAATAATGCTGCAGTCAAGCGGAGAGATGGTTGCTGTATAACCAGAGACACAAAAGATGCCCTGATTAAACTTTGAGCAGTTGAAGAGACTCCTGAATTTTTCACAACAACATCAACCGCAAAGAAAACACTTGTGATGTTTGATCCAGCTAAAGGTTCTAGAGATAAAATTTGCACCTGTTGCAACCAATTCAGTGAGAATAATATATATTTTATATATATTGAATCATGAAGGGAAGAGAGAGAGAGAGAGAGAGGATACTTTAGCGGTAGCAACACTTATTTCATAAAAAATGTCATCCTCAAGCTGCAAAATATTGTCTTCCAACAAAGAAACTGGCTTCGCAACCATGAAACGTGCCACTATATCATGATCTGGAAATTCAAATTTGTCAGTTGTACAAAGTATCAAATGACAACTAGATTTCATACCACAAGGTAAAAAAATTATGCTACCTGCAGCCTAGAAACTCATTTTCATAATTTAAACCTTTATAAAAAATAAAAAAAAATGGTTAAAACAACATTCAAGCATATAAGGAATATAGTAAATCACGCAAATAAAGAAATAGCATCATCATTTTGCAAAACAGACCCAATAAAATTTTCAGTTGTCCCATGCACTCAGTCTTACATTTATTGCTATACTCACTTTTCTTTTTTCCTTTCTTTATTCCCTTTTTTTCTTTCTACACATTTTTTTTTTACAATATATAGAAAAATTGGAGAGTGCATGAGACACTAGAAGGCATGATCACAAAGCCATGCTTGTCCTACCAGCAAATCAATTCTGAACGCAGGGGCAGACATCCTGCTTTCAAACAGGAGTAGGAAGTATTGCACAATAACAAACTAGTGCCAGACTCCAGTAGCATCTTTTGACCATCTACAAGCTTATATCTCTACCTCAAGTGACGGATTTCCAAAAAATAAGCACCCATGATATGCACGAGGATCTTCAACTAACAATCTCAATTGCCAGGACAAGAAACACATAAATGCTATGAGAAAATGTGTGCCTGATATAACCATCGTACTAAATTTTGACTGTTGCTGTACTTATCAAAAATAAATAAATTTGACTGTTGCTGTTGCATAACGCTGTTAAGTAACCATTACATAACACTTTTAAGTAATGTGATTACTAGGGGCGATAACAATGCAGTCTGATATATACGTCCTACTAAAATTCAAAGTAGTGCCCGTTACATGTTGTTAAAGACTTTAGAGGCCATTACGGCACCACAATGATAGTTTTAGTGATTTGAGGTTTATAAACCTGAATTCTGCTACTTTTTTTTCAACTTCGCCACCCCACCCCACCCACCACCCGCCAAAATGCAGCTTTTAAACCATTGGAGACACACCCTAATATTTGAACATAATTAATTGAATAAGTTTTATCTATTTCATGTCCAAGTGCATTTATGGTCACAAAAGTGATGAAAGCAAAAATTAGTAAGCTGGCATTGACGATGGAGACTAAGAATTACTTGTCAAAAGAAAAGATAGAGAATAATGCAAAACTCATTCCCGTATAAAATTATCTTTATAAATCAATTAAGTTTCATTAATAATTAAAAACCCAATCTGTGGGATTTGCTAATACAATATGCATAACTGTACATATCAGTAGAGATGATGATTGAAGATATTACAGCCATTACACCTTGTGTCTGTCACACCGCTATTATCGATAGGTCTTTAGTTACTCTTACTTAAAAACCTGGGATAAAATTAAACCTTAGAGGAATTACTAGAAGATTTAAAATACATATGAAGTAAATTGCAGTGTCCATTATCGAGAGTTTTGACAATTAAAGAACCTCTCCTGTTGTTTCAAGAATTATAGTGAGGCCCACTAGTTGTTGGTAACAAATTCCTACCATTCATCTATGATTAGGATCAAGAACAAGAGAATATTTTGCTGACATCATTATAACATTCTTTTTACAATCCCGATTTTTCTCGTGTTATCTCTCTCTCTCTCTCACCATCCTTGGTGAACTTGCACAGTGACCTCAGGTCAAAACTTGGAGTTTATATTTTTATTTTTGCTTATTAGTATGTTCAGAAGTTAGTTTTGTTGTGTTACCTTTTTTTTTTCCTAGTTGGTACTCACACACACTAGTCTCTTCTGAGACTTGAACCCTTGACCGCCCTTTGGAAAGTAAGAGGCTGATACCGCTAGGCCACTGGCCCGTTAGTTCAAAGGTAGAATCAAAAGTTAAAGCTACAACCAAGGGCAAAAAGATAAGTACCTCTCAATTATGCACTAAACTATTAGGATTCATATCCATAAGCATTCAACCTATTAAGACCCTAATAGGTTTTGAAATCCTTTTTGAAATTACATGTTGGATGCATTGAAATCCTTTTTGAAATGAATAAAGTGTTTTTGGAACTTTCCTACTGTTTTATAAGGGTATAACACTTTGATTGATTACAAAAATAAAAGTTCAATTCAAACTGAATCTCTTTTAACCCTAATCCTTTTGGATCCTTGAACTCAATATAAAGACCTTACGTCTTCAAAAGAAACTATGCATACATAATAGAAAAACTATGCAAGCATATCCATAAATTCTAGCTATTCTGTGTTGCCAGACTTTATGAAGGAGAACTGGACACGACCCAAGAGCTTGAAGTGCACATGACCCGTACCTACTATTGGAGGTGTGGGAAGGATAGATAGAATCAGGGAGTATTGTCCATTTATTATTGTTACTTTACTGATGTTTTAATCATAAGATATTTTAGTAAGTTAAAACTTTACGATTTTATTTTGTGGTAATAGAATTTGATTACGGTTTTCTTTGCTGCCTATGCATACGTGGGTTGATAGACTGTGACAAACACCTTTGATGATTGATTATTGAATATACAAGATTATAGTGTTTTTTTCCCCTCATTCTTCTTCTTCTCCCTCTCTCTTCTTCTTCTCCCTGCATCAATTTTGGTCCATAGAATTCTCTATTGTTCTCAGCAATCAAACTCATACTCAACTGTTCACAGCAATCAAACCCAACCAACTGTTCATTGTGTTCATCCATCTGAAAACCCTAAATCCAAACCACCGTCATTTCACATCTTCATCCTCATTCTCTCTATTTCTCTTTGAACTTTGATTTTGAAGTGCCCCTACTTGTCCTGCATCACTTTGTTTCTCTCATACTTCATCATTGCATCCAGATTAAGGTGTGTGAGTGCTGATCATCAGAATTTCTGTGCTACACGGAGTAATCAACACAGAAGTTCAACTACACAAAGAACACAAGCTTTGACGTCACTAGTATCAATGTGCTGAAGGAAAAACTGATCACTTGAGGAGCAGATCTATTGACTGACGCAAGAGCTTGAGTGAAGAGTTCTACAAAAATCTGAGTCAAAGAGGTAACTAGGAAATTCTAGCATTTCAAAATCTGGTTAACCTAGTTGAATACTTCTTTGTCATAGCAAATTTAAACTACTTGGACTAGGTCCCGTGGTTCTTCCACTTGGAGTTTCCACATAAAATATTGAACATTCATGTGTTTTTGATTACTAAATTTATATGTATTTTCATACTTTCAACCATGATGAATGAATTTATTCATATGCCTTCTAGTTAGTTTTGAATTTATGTCATAGTGGTTCAAATTTAAGTTGCTAAAGTTAGTTAATCAAGCAATTAAGACCTATCGCCCCCTTCTAGGACTCGATCATGGCCTTGCGCTAACTCTATATTAGATTCAAGAGTTACGATCCTTGTATTTCTTGCTAATATATGTTGCTTCTCTTTAACCATTTTTTCATTTTATATCCTTACTTCCTTCCAACCCAAAGAGGTTGTCATCGCCAAACACCACCACCTCTCTGCCAATATGTTACTTTGACCCGGGTAAGCATGTTGGGTGCGGACATGTATGCAAGCATAGCATGTATCGAATCCCTAAATAGAAGGATTTAGGGACACTACTTGTAACGAATTATTTAATGTATTTATTTATTTATTTATTTTTAATGCAACATGGTGTTCAAAATAGGCATTAAGTTGCTTTAAAACAATAATATAACAAAATTAAATTATTGAATATACTTTTTAGGTACATGTCCAACCAAATGTGCCAGATATATATCGCATACCCTTGCCCAATTGTCATGTGACAAACATGGGTATTTTGCGTGCTTCAGAAAAATCCATGCAACATAGTTACTGCTGCATGGTGTTCAAAATAGGCATTAAGTTGCTTTAAAACAATAATATAATAAAATTGAATCATTGAATATACTTTTAAGGTACATGTCCAACCAAATGTGCCACATATATATCGAATACCCTTGCCCAATTGTCATGTGACAAACATGGGTATTTTGCGTGCTTCAGAAAAATCCATGCAACATAGTTATTGCCGCTACTAAACCCCACTAACTTGCTCACCTAAATCTTCATCCTCTCATTCCTTCTATCACAACGCTATAATTCAACAAAGGTTGAATTGCCATATGAAGGCCACCAAGCGCTGCCATAAACACTTTCTTTGTGATTCAATCTTTGTAATAAAGGAAACAAAATTCCAATTAAAAGGATGCACGTGACAAGTATAGATATTTCTGAATCTGATTGATCTTATGGAGTTGAAATACCTAAATTTATCTCATTTATTTTGATTATTAGTATAGGAATCTGAACATTTTGAGGAATCTATATAAATAATTGTCTGAAATGTCGTATGAATAAAAATACTGAAGAATGTCTAGAAAATGTCACGGCGCCATAACAGTAAATAGTGCTAGAAATTTTTGAACAAGTGCAAACATTAGAGAAAGAAAGTTTATAAAATTAAAAAATCTATTCATGAAATCTTAAATATAACTTTTCATGAAAAATAATTTATAAATGATTTGGTATCAAATGTCATGGTATTTTGTTATAAGGGAGGGTAGTTGCAACGATTATAGAGGTTTGCTGATGGCTATTGCTGATAATAGGTGTTGGATCGACAGTGGTGGGGGTTCACGGAAATGATGCATTGTCATAATGGTCTGATTGTTAGTGGCATCCTAATAGCTAAGAGTGATACTAAGAAGCATCTAGCAAAAGTATCCCACAAAAGCTCAATGCATCTTTGCCATGGAAGATGACAGCAGCTAGTAATTCTCTATAAACTGCAAGAAAAAATCTATTGGAAGACAACATCATTGTTTCAGGTATGACTGTTGAGAACTCCAAGCAGACCTAGTACCCTTGACGTTGTCCACTTACACACTCAGAAACACGCACACAATGAAGTATACCATTCATTAATCCAAAGAATGACATATTCTAATGCTTCTCCTGCTATTACGTGGTCTTAATATTCCAAATTCTAACCAAGCTACTATATCAGAGAGATCAAACACCACTTAACCCAGGTAGCACAATGACCAGGATCAACTTATGGTGTGACCCTCAAAATTAGCTCATAACTCGGACCTTAATAACTATCTACCCTATTTGGACACTTGATTTTTGTATTCTATCCAAATTAAGATACTGATAAAAAAATAAAAAATAAAAATAATGGAAGACTTCCTTACCAAATAGGATCAAGCTTAAAGTGACTGCAGATTTATGAAATTAAAAATGTAACATTAAAAGCCAAAAGAATATAGAAATTTCAGCGCTATATCAACCTCGCATCATTCTGTCGGACAATACAAAATCCTTGCTGAATATAGCAACTCCCTGGAGATAACAAATTCTAAAATTCCCTTAATTCCCCAACAGGACAGCATAGATTTGTCAATTGCAATTCCCATCCACCAGATAACAACAATACCATCATATTTTATGTAAATAGAAATAAATTTAGAAATAAATAAATAAACAAAAATAAACTCTGCCCATAGAGTTCAAACTCAGAACATTCACAATTATTATTTATCTTTTTACATTCCAACATTTAAGCTATGTGCTTATATATATCTAAATGCTCTCGAAATTCACTTTTTTTATTAAATTATCTTAAAATTATTTTTCCCCTAACTAGAAGAACCCAATAATTGAAACAAATATTTTCCATCTAAATTCAACAGTTGAACCACCCAACAAATGAATAACACCCAAAAACCTACAGATTATTAAACATCATTTAAAACCCAGATTTTATACATATTTACATGCATATATACAAATATATAGATAGACAGATAGATAAAATGACAGATCCGAATCTGCTAGACAATGTTGATACCCACAAACTAAAATTATCAAAAGAGGCACCGAAATCAACGAACCTACCTCTAAACTTGGAATTCGGATCCAGATCCCCCTGATCTCTGTACTGAAGAAACGGCGGGAGCCAAAAGATAGCAGAGAGCAACACTGAAACGCCCATTACCAGAACCAAGACGCATTTGAGCCCGACGAACCCACGAACCCTGCATCTATTCTCTGCATTGTGCTCTGCGTTCCGTCGATCGACGGTTGTGGGGAGAGATTGTTCTTCTTCGGACTTTCCCATTGGGAATGTGGGTTGCTTGTGTTAGTCTCCATTGGTGTTCTGGAGTCCAGAGTTTGGTGAGGGAAGCTCCATGTCTTCTTCGTCCACTAGAGAGAGAAGGAATGTGAGGACAGAGAGTGGGTATGGAGAGAGAGAAATGTAATATAGTATTAGGGTTCGAATGGAAGAGTGGAGTAACTTCTGCAAAATCACTCCTTTTAGTGAGAGAAAATACTTTTGTTGTTGGCTTATTATCCGTTTTGTGTCTGTAATAAAAATTCGAAAAGGTAGTGAAATACTACTATACTTGACCATGGTAGCTACCAGTCTGTGCCAAGGTGACTCCAGTCCAAATAATATAATATAATTACACACACACACACACAAATTAGACGTGGTAGAATAGTTAGTAAAATACAGTACGAAAAAAATACGAATACGAAAATGCACGAATATAATTTGATAATTTTTTAAAAATATATTTTAAAAATTTAGCAAAAAAATACGAAAACGTAAAAATATAAATACAAATACATACGTGTATAATACGTTATATACTCTAAAAATTCGGGATCAAAAATTCTGCCATACACATCTTATTATTTTCTTATATATATATATTTGTAAGGACTATAAAGAATATATAACAAATAATGAAATAAATATATTACAATTAACACTATCACAATAATCATAAAAAAAAAATTATAAGTATATAATGTAATATTCTACTAAAACATTTAGGGAGTGTGGTGATCTACAAACTTCTAAAATAATAATAATAATAAAGATATTAACAAAATTTAAAAGATCTCACAATAAAAAAAAAAATTTATAAATATCTACAAATATCAATAAAAACTTATGATTCTTCATAATTAGAGTGTTCCATAAATATATATATATATATATATATATATATATATATCTTTCATTATTTTGATTAAATATCATAATTGGAGTGACGACAATAAAAGATTGCACAACAAATAACATTATTTTGATGGTTTGGAAGATAATGGCTAAGCAAAAGATGGTAGAAAACACAATAGTTTACACAATAAATAACATTATTTGGATGGTTTAATAAATAATGGTTATACCAAGTAAAAGAGGGTAGAAAAGACAATATTGTGTATTTTAGAAAAATACGCTATTAGAAACGTGAATTTTGTAAACAAAAATAGTAATAATTAGGTTACGAATTAAACGGAGCAACCAAAACGAATAAACGCGTTAGATACGGGGGTAATGAAAAAAAACTTGTATTTTACCATATCTTTCAACTTTAATCGGTAAACAGAAATATTTTTTAAAAATTCGTACGTACACGTTTAATTCGCGTGTCATACGCGAATTAACTAACTAGGGTCCGTAGAATTAATTACTTAATATGGAGTATATCCTTTCACCATATTAGTGTCGCAATTACTTATAAAAATGTAAAATGCATAAAATAAAACAAAAGTGTTATATTTATTTGTTTGAGGTCAGTCTCATCAAACAGTCATTATTTGGACTCCATAAATTTCATATATAATTATTTGATTATAAGATTTTTTTTATTTTTATTTCCTTTACAAAAGGATTGTATAATTTGTATGCAGTGTTTTATCTTTCGTGGAGGTTTTATGGGCACTATATATGTTTATTGTAAAGGGGTATGTGCACTTTATAGCAAATTTTGTTTAATATTAGTCATTAAAATCTAATTTTTCTTATTATTTATATTTTTTGCAACAAGTGAAATCCACTAATAATTCATGGAATGAAAGGAAGTCCCTTTTATTAACATAATAAAATATTCTTCATTCTTCTCCTTAAACATGTATTTTCAAATAAGATGAAGAATCAAGGAGGGGTATTATTTACTAGGTAAATTTTTTTTTTTTTACTTGACCTGATTAAATACTTCCCAAGCTTATATTTTGTTTCCAAAGTAAAACTGTGATTTTCTTTTAAGAAAACAACACATAGATGCTGTGAAGGGACTCTACGAATACATTAACTTGGGCATTGGCAAATTTGGCAGGAAGGAAGCGGAGTTGACTTTTCGTTTTAAATAATTTTAAATGCATAGAGAACCATTATCTTTACTTTCTTTCGTGTCTTAAATTACACCTAGTTTAAACTTTGAAATTATCAGACCAACCTTAATTAAAGTGAAATATTATTTTTAAGTGGTTGGTTTGCTTTCCATATAAAGTGAGAATAAAATGACAAAAGTGTCGTGTTTTGCTTCAGTAGTTAGTGTTACACTGTTATTCGGGTGGTTGATTTGCTTTCCATATAAAATGAGAATAAAGTGACAACAACAAGACAAATAATATATTTTTTTTTTGTTTTTTTGAAAGTACAAGACAAAGAATGTTATTGGAACAATAGTGTGTGGCAATTTTATAAATATTTAATACCAATAAATAAATAAATAAAAGGGGAAATACACAGGTATATATTACCAAAAAAAAAAATTATTAATGGGGCAATTGCTTCTAAAAATAGTAAATTTGGGTATAAAAAGTAAAAAACTTAATGTTGGAATTAGTTTACCAAGCCTGTACCCTAGTGGTATTATCTATTCTCCTTTCAAATGAAAAATATAGCTTTGTAGTTTTTCCAATAGTATTATTGTGTTGTAAGGATCCATTTTAATTAATATTTTTTATTATTTTTTAAGTAATACTTTTGGTACACTGATTAGCTAAGATTAATTGTTAATCTCAAGAAGTGAGGAGGACATTATGGGTATGGAACAAGAGTAAATAATGGTGTTTTATGTACTACATTAAATGATTTGCCTAACTCAACCAAAGTGAAAGTAAAATCTAAAATTTCATCATTTTGTTATTTGTGTAGCCAATAGGCTACTCATGTATACGTTAATAAATTATGTTAGATGTGATAGAATCAATACCAAAACCACTTATATCAATGAATATATATATATATATATATCAGGAGAATTCATATCATAATGTGTGATGTTCTGCCCTCAAATTAGTAACATGAATAGAAATGTAGTCAATTATAACAAAGGGCCATGAAGATTTATCCTATTTTGAACTGCCAACCTTTTTTTTTTTTTTTCATCCTCGCACTTTAACTTGGGCAGGTGAAACAACTACTAAATTTGATTGTATATAAATATAACGATGAGTAGGTCATTTGATTTGAAAACCCTAGGTGAGCGTACAAAATGAGACAAAGAGCATTAATACAATAGAGTGGATGACAAGTAAAACAAACTATGCCAAACCCTGTGATTTAACTCGCACTTTAATTTTGAAATAACATTTTATATGGTTTAATTTGTTGTAACTTGTTTATTCAAAATTCAACAGATCGCTCAACCAAAAACAGAGCAAATTTAAAGTTTGAAGTTGTGCACAATAAATAAACATATATAAGAAAGACGTAAGGAGGACTATTGGTCGTTATAGTAATTTAATTGATTTTGGTAATGGATTTTGATATATATATATATATATATATGAACTTGGTAGGCAGTGGTCTTTGTTGTGTGACGTGAGTTATGGGCTTGCTTTGCTATGAGAAAGCGAAAGCACGTTGTGTTACAATTTGAGTGAATGTGCAGATGAACCGGCGCACCAATCACGGGAAAATGAAAGGTTGCTTTGTGACTCGGGCACACCGCCTGCACCCGTGATTATATTCAAATTCAACCAAGTGTTAGGCTTGCCTAACTTGCTATTTCTTTTCTTCTTCTTTTTTTTCTTTTTTTTTTTTTATCTTCTTTTTTTATTTTTTTCATGATCAATAGGACCATTCTTAGATTTGCATTCAAGCATTCTATTGCTTTATGTTACCTCATTTATTTTGTTTTTACTGATTTGACTATTTCAACTAATAATTCTTGTGTATACAAAATATATATATATATATGGTGATGGAGTCAAAAATTTGCTTTAGCGGACTTACTTTAAAGTTTATATGGAAAAAAATTTAAAACAAAACAATAAGTACAAAAAATTGGGATTAAAAACCTCTCTTTCCATATATATATTTTCGAAACGAGAACTCTCTCTCTTTCTCTCAAGTCTCAACCATTGGATTCAAATGAAATTAGAGATTTCTTTCAATCCAATATAAGTGTTCTCCCATGAAAATACTCCTTAGTGACTTTTTTGTAAGAAGATTGCCTAATCAAATGATTCTTAAATATCTTCCTCTTTTTTTTTAGATTGATCTGGTGTTGTTTCAGTAACTAAGGGGTTACTTGGTTTGTCACTCAGAAAACAAAAAATTGTTAGTAGATAATTATAAAAGACTGTCATCTGAAAATAGATATTTATATTACTAATTTTTCAAAAACAGAATCAAAACTATTTTTTTTAGTAACAAACCAAACAATCCCTAAATAAAACACACTCATGTAACCCATTGAGGACTCGAATCCTCAAGGGCTTAGAAATGGGTGGTGTTACGTTTTTTTCTCCAAATTTTCCACGACTTAAATTCAAGTTCATGATTTTTTTTCCACTAACCTGATTTGAGACACTGATTTAATAAATTTATCCACCTTTTAGTGCAACCCATATAATGCTGACTCACTTAACTTAAAACCATGCTCGCTGGTTCTTTCACATCCTCTGATCAAGCCCATGTTGCCCGACCCACTAAACTTTAATTTGAAAGGCCATTTTTACCAACACGTTTGGCCCAAGTCTATGTTAGTAGATTTAACACAGTTCAAGTTTAAGACTATGATTGTCAAACCAACTAAGTTCGTTATTCCAGACTACGTTGTTAGATTTATGATCTTTAATTTAAGAAGAGAATATTAGATCCACTCAAAACCCACCCAAGTATCTGTTGTAGTCTTGTAGACTTTGATTCAATCGTGGTCCAATTTATTGACTATTGTTGAATTAAGTCCATAACTCTTATGTTGCGTTTGGGAGTACCAATTTAACTATCTGAATTTGAAATTAGAACAAATTTAGTTCGATTCCAATTCTAAAATGCGAAATCGATACTATCAATCATAACTTTAGAGTTTATGCCTACAACCTGCAAAATAATACCCAAAGCCCAACCCATAGGTCCACATTAATTCGACCGGGCCGATATACCGTGGGTATAATATTGTTATTTCTTTTGTTGCTTTCCTTCCCATTTGAGATTTGGGCCTAAAATAGAACAACCCAGTACTGAAAAAAACCCAAATCAACAAAAGTGTTACTAGTACTTAATTTAATACACGAGAAAATTTTCTGTCATTGAAAAAAAAATTCCAGGACATTTTAGTACTTTTATCTGAAGCATTATCATTACGTTGGGGACGTGGCGAATTTTCTAGGCAACACGTAGTTAATTGAACGTACCGCAGAATTTCTAATTGCAGAAGAATTAGGCACCATATTAACCATGCTCTATTTCGTATTCCTTGCCTCAGTCTCCCCCCAAGTGCCACGAACCGTCTCCCTCCCCCCTCTTTCTCTGAGTGTATATATATACACACATCTATTTCTATATATATACTAGTATATCTCTCTCTAAAACGCTACCCTTTTCTCTTTCTTTCCTCAGTTATAAATCTCTAAGCCTGGTTAGGGTTTCGCGGAGGATCACATTCACTACGGTTCTAGGTAATGGCTGGAAAAACTGTAGTTTCAGACGACGAAGGTAAAAACCCTATATCTCTCCTCTACGTCTACTTTCTCTCTCTAGGAATAGGTTTTTTTCACAGATTTTTGTCGCAACATTCACTGTATCTTAAAGCAATCTATTGTAGATGAGGTTGAAGTCGAGGAGGATGAGAGAGAACCTGAAGACGCAATTGATGTCGAGGATCGGGGCGACGAGGAGGACGACGAGGAAGACGGTACAAGCTTCGATTGTGCTTTAATTTAGTCCTTTGTAGTTTTGACATATGCGGCTGTGGCAAATTAGGTTTATGTTTAGGGTTTTGTAGGGGTAGTAAGATTCGATTAGGGTTTTTTATTTTTGTTTATTTTTTGCTTGCACGGTGTTTGTTTCAAGAGTAGACAAAAATTATAACAATTTATTTCGGAGTTGAATGAATGATTTCTTATTGAAAGAAACTGACACATTTCGATATATCTGGGTTGGTTTTACGGATGAGTTTCTCAAGATGTTCTTGGGTGGGGCTTATATATTCTGGATAGAGATTAATTTGTTTTTCCTGTGATTGTTTTCTCAATTGATGTTTTAGCTTACGTGCTTATTGTCTGATTTACGGTCTGGTTATCAGAAGATGGTCAGGATGAATATGAGAAAGATGGATTTATAGTAGACGATGCTGATGAAGATCAGGATGAGGAAGAAGAAGAGGAGAGAGCGGACAGTGATGAGGAGAGGCAAAAGAAGAAGAAAAGGAAGAAAAGGTAAATTTCCTTTTATGGTCCCTTATCTTTTCATACTTACCCAAAAAAAATATGGTTCCTTATCTTATCATGCAACTTCCTGCCGTTGGTTACTCTTCTTCCACCATTTTTTCAGAGAATCTGAGAAGAATTATGTTCTTGATGAGGATGACTATGAGCTTCTTCAGGATAACAACATAACGGGCTTTCATCGCCCTAAATTTGTGAGCTTATTGTTATCTCTCTCTATGTGTGTGTGTGTTTTTCCTCTCAAGCGGCATTGTTTTGTTGCTCTTTTGTTCCCCTTTTTTATATCTTAAAGTTTTTCTCTCCTTGAAAATTGGTAGGAGAGCAAAAAGTTCAAGCGGCTGAAAAAAGCTCAGAGGGACACAGAGGAAGAGCGCTCTAGGTTCTCTGATGATGAGGAGTTCGATGGAAGTGGAAAGAGTGGACGAACTGCTGAGGAGAAGCTCAAGCGCAGCTTATTTGGTGATGATGAGGGTATATTTCATCAAACTTATTTTATACCCTTGTTATTTTACCGATTCTTGTTATTATATGCTATTGGAAAACCATTCGATGTTTCAGGTGCTCCGCTTGAGGATATTGCTGAAGAGGAGGAGCAACCAGAAGAGGAGGATGGGGACATTGGTGAAGAGGATGAAATGGCCGATTTTATTGTGGACGAAGAAGAAGTAGATGAACATGGGGCTCCTGTGAGGTAGTTTTGCATCTTGAATATGTTCTAACATATGAGTGTATTTAACTCAATTTTTTTTTATTTTATAATTTATCTATTTATAAATTTGTCATGCAGACGGAGGAAACTGAACAAAAAGAAGTCTAGGCAGGCACCAGGGGTATCATCATCTGCGCTACAAGAAGCTCATGACATATTTGGTGATGTTGATGAACTTCTTAGACTCCGCAAGCAAGGGTTAGCAAAGATGAGCAGGCACAATGATTCAGGTGAATTTAGGGAAAGAAGGATTGAAGATGAGTTTGAACCAATCATTCTTTCTGAGAAGTACATGACAGAGAAGGATGACACAATTCGGGAGATAGATATTCCAGAAAGAATGCAGGTTGTGTCATGGGGCTTGAAATATTATACTTTTATACTAGCATATAAGTTAGGAGCCTTCATTTTATTATCTCATCTTTCTTTGTAGATATCCGAAGAAAGTACTGGTTCTCCGCCAACGGATGAACTGATTATAGAAGAGGAAAGTAACTGGATATATAATCAGCTTGTAAGTGGCACAGTACCTCTTTTTGGCAAGAGAGATATGGGGACAACTGAAGGAGAGCGTGAGCTGTCAATAAACAAGGATGACCTTATGAGATTTTTGGACTTCATGCATGTTCAGAAGTTGGATGTAAGCACGGGGTCTTCAACTTTACTAAACTTCTATTTATTAGATCATATCTCCATGTTAATATCACCACACTTTTTTTTTAGGTCCCCTTTATTGCCATGTATCGGAAGGAGGAATGCCTGAGCCTATTTAAGGACCCAGAGGAACTTGAGCCTGATGTTGAGAGTCAGAACAAATCTGACCAAAAACCTACCATACGGTGGCATAAGGTAATCAGGCTTGTTACTGAACTTTTGTACTTCATGCCTAGATTGAATTACTTGCATCCTGAAGGTATGTATAGTGATAATTAAGGGGGAGTGTGCTTTTTGTAGGTTCTTTGGGCAATCCAAGACTTGGACAGAAAGTGGTTGCTGCTGCAAAAGCGAAAGAGTGCTCTTCAGTCATATTACAATAAGCGATTTGAAGAAGAGTCACGTAGAGTATATGATGAAACACGTCTATCTTTGAATCAACAACTTTTCGAATCAATAACCAAGTCACTCAAGGCTGCTGAGTCAGAAAGAGAGGTTGATGATGTTGACTCAAAGTTTAACCTGCATTTCCCACCGGGTGAGGTTGGTGCGGATGAAGGACAATATAAGAGGCCCAAGAGGAAATCACAGTATAGTATTTGCAGTAAGGCTGGGCTATGGGAAGTTGCAAGCAAGTTTGGTTATAGTTCTGAGCAATTTGGATTGCTGATATCCCTCGAAAAGATGGTACATTTGTTTTGACATGTGACGGCTTTTGTTTTGAAAAAAATGAGATTGCTCATACTTCTATTTTTTTTTTTTTTCCCTTTTTTAATCATAGAGAATGGATGAACTGGAGGATGCCAAGGAGACACCAGAAGAGATGGCTTCAAATTTTACATGTGCAATGTTTGAAACACCTCAAGCCGTGCTTAAAGGTGCCAGGCACATGGTATGCTAATATTCCTTTGTAGTGAATGCTCATGCGAGCATGATGTTTGCTATATCATGCTTGGTTATGGGGTCATGTTTCATGTCAATTTCTTGCAAATTTTTTCAGGCAGCGGTTGAGATTAGTTGTGAACCTTGCGTTAGGAAGCATGTTCGAAGCATCTTTATGGACAATGCTGTTGTGTCAACAAGTCCTACATCTGATGGAAATGTGGCTATAGATTCTTTTCATCAGTTTGCAGCGGTGAAGTGGTTAAAGGACAAGCCACTGACAAGATTTGAGGATGCACAGTGGCTTCTTATCCAAAAGGCTGAAGAAGAGAAGCTCCTTCAAGTTACTATTAAGCTGCCAGAGAGTGTTCTAGATAAATTAATAACCGACTCTAATGATTATTATCTCAGTGACGGCGTGAGTAAATCTGCTCAATTGTGGAATGAGCAAAGGAAGCTGATACTGCAGGATGCTTTTTTTGGTTTTCTTCTTCCTTCAATGGAGAAGGAAGCCAGATCCTTGTTGACCAGTAGAGCGAAAAATTGGTTACTTCTGGAATACGGGAAGCTCTTGTATGACAAAGTATCTGCTGCGCCATACCAGAGGAAGGAAACTGATATTAGCTCTGATGATGAAGCTGCACCAAGGGTAATGGCTTGCTGCTGGGGACCTGGGAAGCCTGCAACTACTTTTGTGATGTTGGATTCATCTGGAGAAGTGCTGGATGTGTTGTATGCTGGGTCCCTTAGTCTTCGATCTCAAAATGTTAATGACCAGCAACGCAAGAAACGTGATCAGCAAAGCGTTCTTAAGTTCATGACTGAATTCCAACCGCAAGTTGTTGTTCTAGGAGCTGTGAACTTGTCTTGTACTCGACTGAAGGACGATATTTATGAGGTGAATTTCCATGTTATCCAGAGTAGACACAGAAAATTTTAAACTAGGTGCAACTCTTATATAGCGCACACATACACACACGTATATAGCTTCTGTCTTGGTGTAGTTGGGCCTTAGTTGCAGGGATTTTTATAGCAAGTTAGCAACCTTAGCCTGTGCTTTAGATCCATGATCTTGTACTTAGAATTTGAAATTTTGTTAGTCTTTGATATCTTGCAAAAGACTTGAAAGTCTTTCACAATTGCATCTTGATCTAACACCATACAGGTTTGAGTTATCAGGAAACCCAGATACTATAGTGTTTTGTGATTTAATAATAGAATAAATGGCATTCAACTTGCAAAGCATGTAAGCTTTAGGGAAATAAATGGTAAACTTTAGGGAAATAAACGGTAATTGCCTTCCTGCGCAAAGATTTGAATTTAAATAAGTGATATTCTTTTTAAAACTATTCTCTATACAAAACCAACTTGTCTTATAATAATAATTTTGATTGCCAATATTCAAGTCATATTGTAATATCGTGGGTGACGGTGTCATGTGATAGTGGCCCTTGTAACATGATAGGTTTCTCAGACATTGGTTAGCCCACAAGATTCTGCCAACCTGGATCTGTATGGGGTGCCAAGTGCCTCAATTATTTTAAGGCTAGATTAGACTGGCCTCCCTATCACACACTCCCTTGTAGTTCTTTACGATTGACTGGTCGTCTTTCATATTGCTGTCTACCTTACTTAACTTACCCGATTTCTTTTGAGCTCAACTAATATATAGGGAGCCAATCGCTTACCCTCTTTGCTTCTTGTCCTCTTACTATCTATAGATCCTACTTGCCCTATATATGAGCCATAAAAATAGGGTAGATTAGACTGTTCTCCCTATCACACCCTCCCGTCCAGTGCTGTTAACAAAGTATGTAATTTTAGTATTTTTCTCTGAAGCCTGGATGTAAATCCACATTACTTACCAATGATAATAATGTATTAACATGCATTACAAGGGAAAAATTGGTAATCATACATTTCAAATTGCTGACATCAGGAAAAATAGTTGTTGACCATTAGCAGAGGGTACTATGTCAAAATAATGTTTTGGACATAACTTGTGTGTAATTATAATAGACCTCATGGGAGCTCAATGTGATTTACCCTTGTGTTAAAAACCTAAATTAAGATTGCAATTTTACGGAAGGGGCACTTTAAGAATGAGGTCTCTGTCCTTGCTAGTTGAAAACTGAGAGACTGAATTATAGATGTTTGCTCAGTTGGTAGATCTCAACCATATGTTATTGTTGATCATGGGACGAAATTACATATTGAACTTTTGGTTTTAATTTATTTTTTAAAATTAATTTATTTTGGTTCTTTCTTTTTCCCTTATCAGATAATTTTCAAGATGGTGGAGGACAATCCTAGAGATGTTGGTCATGAAATGGATGGTTTGAGCATTTTGTACGGTGATGAATCTCTCCCTCATCTGTATGAGAATTCTCGCATTTCATCTGACCAGCTGCCCGGGCAGTCAGGTAAATGAAAGTGTCCTCGATCTTTCAATGCTTGATAAACTCGTTATAGTTGTTTTCATATTCACCTGTGTTTTTAGGTATTGTTAAGCGGGCTGTGGCTCTTGGACGCCATCTTCAAAATCCATTGGCTATGGTTGCAACACTATGTGGACCAGGGAGGGAGATATTATCTTGGAAACTTAGTTCTTTGGAGAGCTTTCTTACTCCCGATGAGAAGTACGGGATGGTTGAACAGGTTATGGTGGATGTTACTAACCAAGTGGGTCTTGACATTAATTTGGCTGCGAGCCATGAATGGTTGTTTGGTCCTTTACAGTTTATTTCTGGGCTTGGACCAAGAAAGGCAGCATCTCTACAGAGGTCCCTAGTCAGAGCTGGAGCAATCTATACTCGTAAAGATTTGTTGACAGCACATGGGCTTGGTAAAAAGGTGTTTGTTAATGCAGTTGGATTCTTGCGTGTGCGGCGGAGTGGCTTGGCTGCTAGCAGCAGTCAATTCATCGATTTATTGGATGATACAAGGATACATCCAGAATCTTATGGTCTTGCACAGGAATTAGCCAAAGATTTATATAATGCAGACGTTCAGGACGATGCAAATGACGATGACGATGTGTTGGAGATGGCAATAGAACACGTCAGAGAGAAACCTAATTTATTAAAAACTCTTGAGGTTCATGAATATGCTAAAACTAAGCATAGGGAGAATAAAATAGAAACACTTGACAATATAAGATTGGAGTTGATTCAGGGCTTTCAGGATTGGCGTAGACAATATGCAGAACCTAGTCAGGACGAGGAATTTTATATGATTTCTGGGGAGACAGAGGATACGCTTGCTGAAGGAAGAATTGTGCAAGCAACGGTTCGCAGGGTGCAACCTCAAAGAGCAATTTGTGGGCTTGAATCTGGGTTGACTGGTATGCTTAGTAGGGAAGACTATACCGATGATTGGCGGGATATTTCTGATTTGACTGAGAAGTTGCACGAAGGTGATATTTTAACTTGCAGGATCAAATCGATTCAAAAGAATAGGTACCAGGCCTTTCTAACTTGTAGAGAAACTGAGATGAGGAACAATCGTTTGAGTAATCGAGACACAGATCCCTATTACTTTGAAGACCGGAGCAGTTTACAGAGTGAGCAAGAAAAAGCTCGTAAAGGGAAGGAGCTTGCGAAGAAGCATTTCAAGCCAAGGATGATTGTTCATCCTCGCTTTCAAAATATAACAGCAGATGAAGCCATGGAGGTATTTTTTTCTATAAATAATTGATTCTATATTTGTAATCATTGTGCAGGTGTCAAATGAATAACTGAAACTTAATACTATTGTAATTATCTGCAAAAAAATAGTCTGATACAATCATCTTTTACTTGAAATGAACTTCACTAATAGAAAAACACAACTTGGAGGAACCCTACACAAACAAACAAAGGATTGATTGAAAGCACGAATGTCATACAGGACATTGACAACTGTTTTTAACTTAAAACTACGAGGACTTTCAAGATTTTAGTTTATATGTAAACCAAAAGATTCATCATTTTCATCATCATCATATGTAAGATTGATTGCTATAAAGTTTTTATTTGATTTAGACTTCAGATCTAGATAATTAGGCCTGCTACACGATATTTCTTTTGGATTGGGGGATGTAGTGTAAGATTTTAAATGTATGTCCGCTTTCTTGGTTTTTCACAAATGTCTTGCCTGATGCTTTGTTTTCTTTGTGTTGAATAGTTCCTGTCTGACAAGGATCCAGGTGAAAGTATTGTCCGTCCTAGTTCTCGCGGCCCCTCTTTTTTGACTTTAACTCTCAAAGTTTATGATGGGGTATATGCGCACAAAGACATAGTTGAAGGTGGAAAGGAACACAAGGACATCACAAGCTTGCTTCGTATTGGGAAAACACTGAAAATAGGAGAGGACACATTTGAGGATTTGGATGAGGTTAGTGTCTTTAATCATCTATTTTTGGAGTATTGTTCTTTTTTCTTGGTTCTAGATTTAAACTTCACATTCTCTGAGGATCACTTGAAGTTTTGAACCATCATGTAGGACCTCAATATATTGGGATTGGATATCATTTCTAATTGTCGATTTGCATTGTATTTCTATATTAATTGGTACTGGATGAATTTTCTGAATTATTATAGCTAATGACTACTACAGTTTTTTCACTGTTTCGCAGAAATGTAAAACATGTTGTGGTTATGTTCGGTTTGGATCAAACTATGTGAATATAACAGTAATTATACCTTGTGGTGAATAATAGCCATTTTCTAATAACGCACAATGAAAAGTTGTTCCTTTCAAACCTCTTTATTCCTTTTCTCATGTCAGAGGACTGAGGGTTTATAATGAAAGCTAAGACATGTACGATGATAATTTTAATCTTCTTCTTTTTTCTTTTTTTTTTTTTCTGTTTATATATATATATATATATATATATATATATATATATATATGCATGTATGTATGTATGTACATAAGAGACATGCTCATATTGCAATTGAACTATGTGCCTTTACCTTGGCTATTGGTGTTATTCTGATATAAGTAGTTATGTGGCCAAGGGAAATGAGTGAGGTTTACTTACTTTTGGCTATCATGCTGAGTGGAAGTCAGAATATGTTCCAGTGGAATCTCAGTTACATGTTTGAGTCTGATAATCATGTTACCTGTAAAAAGTAGTAAAATTGACCTTTCCATTTGTTGAGATTTATTATTGCGGCAAAGGGAAATGAGTGAGCTTTAATTACTTTCTGTTGTCCTGCTAATCATGTTGCGTGTGACTAGTGTTTTCGAGAGGGGCACTATATGGTGATTTATAAGCTTCAATTTGCTTACAAAATTTAGTGTCTTCATGTCTGATAACATCTTTTCTTTTTCTCAGATGATAATGGAAGACTGTTTTCATTTAACTTGACCATAATCCGCAAAGTTGATATAACCACTTAGTTTCTTTTATCAAAAGATAATGGAAAGAATGTTTTCATTGAACTTGACTGTACTTCACAAAGTTGATATTACAACTTATTAGTTGTGAGAGAACTTGATGTTACCGACCATAATTTTCTGAGAGATTCCTGATTATCATGTTCTGAGGTGAGTTCTCAGTTCATGTACACCTACAAATGTTACTATTGTCGTGCTTGATTATTTTTTTTCGTCACTTTTTTTCAAGAGGTCATGTAAAAAACTGTTCCCATTCTCTTACACCAAAGAGAAGACACAAAGACAACAACCAAGCCTTTTCCCAATTACTTGGGGTCAGCTACATGAATCCTATGTTTCCATTCTGCTCTATTTAAGGCCACAAAATAAAATAAAATAAAATAAATAAAAAGGAGGAAGAGGAAGAGGAAGAGGAAGAGGAAGAGGAAGAGGAAGAAGAAGAAGAAGAAGAAGACGAAGGAGAAGCTGTCCTCATTTAACTTGACCATACTTTCAGAAGTCAGTTTAACAACTTCGTAGTTGGTCAAAATAATCTAATTAATTAAGCACGTCTTGAATGTCTTCTAAAGGTACGGTGGTACAATATTGGGTTTTTTTCGAGGGGGTTTATGCTTGCTGAATGAAGGATATTTCATTGTTTTAGAAGTGCCAACCATTTTATTGAATTATTTGTAAATTACAAATTATGAATGGGTAACTTTGCCTCATACTTGCATATGGCTACTGCATTAGTCTAGCAACTGTTGTTTTGGGGATGAGCATTGTGCCCTTTGATTTCATTCTATGACTTCGATTCAGCACATATGGATGTGAAACTGATAGATCATTATTTTCTGCCTTCACAACAGGTCATTGACAGGTATGTTGATCCGTTAGTAGCTCATTTGAAGGTAATGTTGAGCTACCGAAAGTTCAAAAAAGGAACTAAAGCAGAAGTTGATGAGCTTCTAAAAATTGAGAAATCAGAGAATCCAATGAGGATTGTCTATTGTTTCGGTATATCCCACGAACATCCTGGAACATTCATTTTGACTTATATACGGAGTACGAATCCACATCACGAGTATGTTGGTCTATACCCCAAAGGATTCAAGTTCAGAAAAAGGATGTTTGAGGACATCGATAGGCTTGTAGCTTATTTCCAGAGACATATTGATGATCCACAACATGACACAGCGCCATCAATCCGGTCAGTTGCTGCCATGGTTCCAATGCGAAGCCCTGCAATGGGGGGCTCTTCTGGCAGCTGGGGTGGTTCAGCCACAAACGACAGTGGTGGGTGGAGGGGTCAATCTATGGACCGAGAAAGAACTTCTACGCCAGGTTCTAGAACAGGTACTTCTGAACAATTTTTATGTCCCAATTGTTGATGCACTTCTGGATATGAAAAACAAATTGTTTCCCATCTAATAACTCTGGGTTAGTGTTTAAATTTCTGGATTTGATTTAAGATGTGGGATGCTTTGAGATGGCTTAGGTTAGGATAATTTGAGTTTGCACGATTTTGACTATGAATTAGATGCTTCATATCAACTGTAGACTCTCTCCCTCTCTAAGGGCAAATTTCCAAAAACCCTCGAACGATGTGTTTGTAAATAACACCCTTAAACTTAATGGGACTATTACAAAAGTTTTAAATTACAATACTTTCCTAGATTATACAATTTTAAATTACAATACTATCCTCTATAAATTACAATATTATAGATAGTGATGGTTATAATTGTAAAAACAATTTAAAACTTTCTCTTCCCTTTTCTCCTAACTAGCAGAGTAAATTGTGAGCTTATTCTCTTATCTTCCATCCAACAGAACAAAAAGAGGGAAGGTCACAATCTCTTCTCTAGCTGAAAGTCTACAATACCCGAGGTTTTCAGCAGTTGGATGTGGTGGTGGGACCCACTTGATGGATGATCCAACGGCTGAAATGCCCCGGGGGTACTGTAGACTTTCTCTTTCTCCAGGGATGTCTCATCCATCCCTTCTTCTCTCCCTTCCATCCGAATTTTTTCTTCCCTACGAAACGAAGCATAAAAGATTGCAAATAACACCTTCTCGTTACTTGGCCATTAGTGGTGTGATAAAATTACATATCTGCCTTGCTAAATATAAAAAAAGAATATTGAGTTAAAAATTAAATTTGAAATTACAGGTTACTTTAGACTGGATAAAATATAAATTCGGTGATTGGAAAAAACCAATGAAATGGTAAATTATAATAAACGTCGGCAGGAAGGTAGCATCCATAATACCTTACCTGGAAGTAGGATGCTTGCTGTTTATTCATGGGTTTATTTTCTCATTTATTCATTGGTAAAATTTGGTTCAACAAGGTCTATATATTGGTTTTTAATTCCTCACTTTTATTTCTTGCCACTCATGGCATACTTCGTTCCAAAATCCAGTAGGAGGGCTGAACTGATTTGTAGGTGATTGGAAGTTGTGGTGGTAGCCGTGTTGTGAGAAAATTACATGTGCATTTGATTCATTTGGGGCCTTTGAGCTCACTTGGTCTTTTGTATATGCTCTTCTGTACAGGCTAAACTTGGAGTTCTTTGGAGTAGTTTGGTGACATGTGGTATTTGACCTTTATTCTTTTCGGGTTTGCAGGAAGAGGCGATTACAGAAATGGTGGTGGGCGGGATGGACAACCACCTAGGCCGTATGGTGGGCGTGGACGTGGCAGAGGCTCATACAACAGTGGCAGAGGAAATAGTAGTAATGACAGGAATGATTCAGACTATGGTTCTCAGAAGTGGGGTGCCAAAGATGGTGACGATGGGTGGGGCAGTTTTCCGGGTGCCAAAGTTCAAAATTCACCAGGCAGGGAAGCATTTCCTGGTGGTTGGGGTGGCAGTGGCAGTGGCGGTGCAGGTTGGGGTGGGGATAGCAATGATGGTGGTGGCAGTGGTTGGAGCAAGAGTGGCGGTGGCGGTGGCGGTGGCGGTGGCGGTGGCAGCGCCAGCGCCGGTGGCTGGGGTGGTGGCAGCAGCGGTGGTGGTGGGGGGCAGGGAAGTGGTGGTGCTGGTTCGGGTGATGCTGGTACGGACATTGGAAGTTCTGGCTGGGGTGGTAACAAGAGAAGCTCACAGCACCAAGCTGGTGGTAATGGTGGAAGTGGGGGTGGTGGATGGTGATTCTGGGTAATTTCGCTTTTTTGCAAAGAGCCCATGTTTGATATAATTTTTGGAATTGTGGGTTGACGAGAGCATGAACGTTTCCCTATATTGCCTTGGTTCAATTTTAGTTTAGTTTTAGTTGGGCTAATGTATGTAGTCTACATATCCATAATATGTAACGGAACAAATATGGGACGCATTAATGTCTTCAGAAGTATGCCTCTCTTGTCTCTTATCTCACTAACTCAACTGGGTGGACCAAGTGGTGAATGACTTTATTTAGATTCAATTATTTAAGAAACTACACTTTGCATATATATATATATATATAGTTTTAACAACATTCATAAATTTGAATTTAATTTTCTGTTCTCGTCTTGTTGGATAAACGAAAGATAGAGAAAAATAGGGAGTTACAACCATCACTAGCTTCCCGGTAGGGAAAATTAATTTTACCTGAATGAATAATATGAATAAAGAAAGTCTTATCTATAAACAAGAAAAACAAGGTGTGGCTGTCTCTGTATATTAAAAGACTAGTTCTAAATTAAAAAGCAGAATAAAGTAAAGCTAGACAAAACTATGTGATAAATGATTAGTTTAAAATGAAAAAAATTGTTAAAATAATCGAGCATAAGTCATTTCAGGAGATTAATATTAAATTGTCCAGAGAAGGTAGAAGAGATGCTACTAATTCAGTCTTATCTATTGCCAGAGAATAAGAGCTGCAGATAATCAAGCAAGCCATGTGAATCTTTTGCTAATGGAAATTGTCTAACATGACTTGAGTAGCTTGAGGAAGAAAATTTCATTTGGAAAGAGAGTGCTGCTATTGTCTCATAGTCGAGTCGGGTCACTAATACCAGGAACACCCAAACTGAAAAACAGCAAATTACAATTTCCCAATGCATTTAAAAAGTCGAGTCGGGTCACTAATACCATGAACACCCAAACTGAAAAACAGCAAATTACAATTTCCCAATGCATTTAAAATAAATTAGTCTTCCTTATGTTCATGTTTCCAGATCAGATTTCCAAATCAATTAAGCGAAATTTCTGGAGGGACACAGAGCAAAACCAGACCAAGAGCATGAGCATTGAAACCTTGAGAAGCACAGTGGCAGGCAAAATGCTAAAATACAGACCACGAAAATTTAAAAAACAGCTGATTTACATTGAAGGAACAATAAACAGGTTAACCCACGAAGACTATCTTACAACTTTGGAGAAACAGGTTCCAGTCCGGAAGACTACAGGATCTCAAAATACTTACTGCACCAGAATTTGCTTCATTGAATGGAGTTCCCGAGCTGTGGTCACAAAGAAAGAGAACATAAAACAAGCCATGCTGAAACAGACCAACCTGACTATTCGAAAGGCCAGGCAGAATAATCCCTACTGCTACTATCTTCATGTGTTGTAGCCGAGCTGCTTCCAGCTGTTTCATGACGGCGCGAGTTGGAACTGGAGGAGCGGAAAGGCCATAAAATAGACCATGGATTTCGCCTTCCCTGATTCTCACTCCTGTTCTCCCTTCCACTGGCATTCCTACTAAACCTGTTGCTTCTACTTTGGCCCCTTGAGCTTCGACTGCCACGCCCATCAGCAGATTGTTGTGGTGGCAATTCCTGGCGACAAACAGGGCAAGAATTGTGTTGAACTAGCCATGGGACAATACAATCTGAGTGGTACAAGTGATTACATGGCATTTTCCTTGCTTGAGACCCCAACTCAAATTTTTCTTTACAAACAGGGCAGTGAGAATCAGAACGAATATGCTTCTGCAATATTTTAACCGTTGGCATCGCATCAATTGATGATTTGGGTGCTGGGAGAGGACCCTGTCGATCATTACGAGTTAGCTCTTCTATAAATTCTTCCAGTCCAGGACCCACAAAATAATCACCACCATTTCCTCGCCTAAATCCAAGAGCCTGGTTAAAGAATTCCACAAACTCACCACTATCAGCCGTCCGATAAGGCATTTGGCCACTGAAAATCAATCTAGGACCATGCTCACCATTGTTAGTTCTTGAATCTGATCTTCCTCTGATATCAAAATTATTGTTTCTTCCTGCCATTAGTTGACTCACAAAAGTTGAGAAAGCATCCATAGATCCAGTCCTCTGCTCGTAGTCTTCAACATTGTCCAGCCCAAAAAAATCTAGGGAACGGTTCATGGTCAACATATCCTCAAGATCTTGAACAAATCCTCCACGACAATAGGTGCAAGCTCCATTACGCCCTCGAAGTCTAACTGGTTGCCTGCAGTGGTAACACCAATGGGTGCTTCTTCCACTCGACATCCTTACTCTCCCTTTCTTCCTCTAGGCCCAAATCTCATATGAGGAACTCGTACCTTTAACAACTACCTCAGCATAATGGCTAACAATTCAAGAAACATACTAAACCCATCAATATATTACATATAACAATACATACATACATATATATCTATAAAGTAAATCTTATCATCAGACCCACGATTTAATGATTTTTATAATAAGTGAAATCTTCAATTTAAAAAGGAATCCAAAACCTAAGAAGTATATACATTTCTAAGAAGGTGATATGTATGTCTCGAGCACCAACACTTTATGAATACTCTTTGGACACGTGTCTGACACTTTAGGAATGAGTCCATAATTTTAAAATAAATTTCATCATTTCAGCACTTAGCTTTAGACACTTGGCTGGCACATTCCAGCCACTCCCCAACACAACTGCTATATAAAACAAACACATCTAAGAGTTTTGATAAAATATGAATACATTTCAAAGTATATAACAGAATTTTGTTTTAAGAAAATTGTCATGGTCGCCACAAGTTGAGCATGAAATGCTACTTTTTCATACAAGACCCAAAAAATAAAAAAATAAAAAATAAGCATAATGATGAAGTATGATAATAGTAAAATATATACTACAATATTATTATTTGTGATATTTATTTGGCTTCGCCTTCTAGATTATGTAGAAAATTAATCAAAATTCTATAATTGTCTTATTAATAGATGTTTAAATTTATATATGGCCGTGGCATTATTTTTGCATCTAACTTTTTAGGATTTGATGTGTAGGTGTGTTGTGTTGTAATATCTGTGTCTGTGTTACTTAGTCTGAATTTAAAACATTCATTCATCCCATAAATTCTATACCTTCAAACAAATGCAAAGAACATAAAACCCTATAATCAGTTAGTTATTATCTGCCAGATGATAATGCATTTGAAAGCCACCAAACAAATTTACTAAAAATTAATGAAAACAAACACTCTGAACTCACTAAGAAACCCAAAGAAAAAGAGATTTTTATAAAATTCATTTCTCTAGCCTCAAGAACTCGATTTTCTTGGGAAATTGATTACAACCCATAAAAATGGATCAACAGAGGAATTTAAAAAAAAAAAAAAAATGGAACAATTCAGGGTGAACTACACGAGTTTATTGCACTAAAGGCCTACATCTACTTTAAAAAAAAAAAAAAAATTCCAAAACTGCAAAAGCCATTTCAAAATTCAGAAAGCAATGCTACAACATCTTATATATCAATGATCCATAGAACTCTACACGTAGAAGTAAGATCTAATACAACATTCAACAAAGACACAATTTTAGCACATGAGGAAATATAAATATAAAAATGAAAATCGTTAAAATCTAAAATTGATAAAATTCAACAGATATACTTAGATATTACACATGTCGAAACAAATCGAGAAAATGCCGTAAGAAATGAACAAATTATTGGAAACACAACAGACCAGTAAGTCTTACCTTTAAGAGAGAGAAAGTGGAAATAGTAGATCCCATGGCTACAATGGAGAGAGAGAGAGAGGGGACCCTAGATTGGTGTTGGAGACTTTAACTGAGACGAAGATAGTCCAAACTGGCATCTCTTAAAATACACGAGGTGCGTACTGTCTCCGTCTTGTTCCCTTTTTTTGGATTTATGGGCTGTTTATTTATGGGCTTCCAATACCGGCCCATTTCTAAAATTTTGTTCCTAGACATTCTCATTTATGATTCATGTATTCATTATACTGCATTAATAAAAGCTTTTGGGCTTCCAATACCAGCCCACGTCTAAAATTATGTCCTATACAGCAAATTCCCCATCCCTACTGGGTCCCGCTCCGTTTAGGGCGGGTTTGGGGACTCTTTTATTCAAACGAGGATGAGGATGGGGTAATTTTTGAAAACTCGACGGGGGCAGGGATAGGGTAAACCTGCCCAATCCCGTTTAGGGTGTACATTTTCTAAAATACCCTTATATATTATGATATATTACTAAATTATATTAAGTATATATATATATATATATATATATATATATATATATATATATACTTCTAAAAATAAGAAAAATTATGTGTTAAAAAAATTATAGTGTATATTAAACGGGAATGGGGAATGTAGGGCGGGGGCAGGGATTGAAGTGAAATTTTAAACGGAGATGAGGGCGGGGATGGGAATGGGAATGGGAATGGGGAATGAGATCCCCTCCCCGCCCCACCGCATTGCCATCCCTTCCATCATATATCATGTGTTTTCAATAAAAAAAATTTTTGGTTTCTCCATAGGTAAATTTTTTTAATACACTTAAATCTTGTTTCAACATATTTTTTCTAGATTTCAAATACCAAAAATTCTACCAAACATCTTCTCTCACGCTCAATTTAACATTAAGGCTCCAATGTTTCTGACTTACAATACTTTTCAGAAAATATTTTCTTTTGTTTGGTAAAATATTTTTTTATTTATATTTTTTTGGTGATGGACAAAAATTTAGGTCGAGATAGCATATCGGATGAGGCATGTAAAATAACTTGTCAAAAATTGATGAATAAATTATTTTTGTTAAATTTTAATATTTTTTTTCTTTGTAAATATTTTAAGACAACCAAATATTAAAAAATAAGAATAAAATATTAGAAAATTTTGTATTGTAAGGGTATTTAATGGCCACCTAGCTACAGTTTACCTATTTTATTGTTGGGAATAATATGTTGGAATTTTTATTTTTATCATTAAGGAGGGGTTTTTTTTGGCAATTAGCCCTTCTGAAACAAAAAAAAGAAAAAAAAGAAAAAAAGAAAAAAAAAAGTGACAGCATAAAGAAAAAGGAATACTAATGATTTATAATAAATAATAAAAATCAAGAAATGGGAAAGAAAAAAAAAAAATACTATTTTTTGAAAATCACTCAGGTTCCAAAACAGTGTCCATACTTCTATTCCTGGGTAATTAAAAAAACAACACACTAATTTTTGTAATTCACTCTCCTCAGGTTCCAAATACCACAAATACTCTTCCCCTCACAGTTTGATTTTGTAAGTGGGGGATCGATCAGATTTATTACCATAGACTCTCTCAAGTTGTAATAAATCTGATCAATCTAAACCTTTAAGTAAAGCAGGAAACAAATGCTTAAGATATGAAAAGATAGGATGTAAGTGATGTTCTCGTCGAAGCCGGGATGTAAGTGATGGATGAGTGAAATTGCGTTGGCCTTGCTTTAAGAAACAATGGCTGTGTATTAAATCAATGGAAGAACACATTTCTTTCATCTGTGGCAGACAAAGAGACAAACAAATTTGCTTATACCCAAAATAACTTCGTCTTCATTGCTTCTGGCCTGGATACTTGGTAATATACAAATTCACTTTTTAATGGATTTTATCAATATGGGTTTGATCATCGGCATTGGTGCTAGGACGGAGGTGTGTCAAGCAGAGACATTAGATAGAGAATAAACTGTGCCAAACGGAGATTGTATTAAAAAATTGTTTTATGTCATTTAATGGTAAAAACAATTTAATTTAACCTTTATCTGTTGGGTCAAATAAAAATAAATAAAACCCTTATCTCTTGGGTGTGTTGTCACATTTCCATTGGTTCAGATTTTATTAGCCACGTCAGCAACTTAAAGAAGTTAAAATTTAAAATTACGTTCCTTTATGGGAAGGGGTCAAATGGTCTTTTGATTTTTCAAATGAGGCCGTGAGGTATACTGTAACAAAAAATAGTTCAGGGGATTTTTTTTTTTTTATTTTTTGTGTGCGCGCGTGGGGTTAAGGGGGGTTTCTTGCAATACCCTAATAGTTTAGGTTTTTTTTTTTTTTTTTTTGTAAAAGAAAAAAAGAAAAGCAAATATGATATAGTCATGAAGTCTTGATAAAAGGGTAATTTTAGTAATGCTGCTACTGTTTGTAGGGATGACTGTTGTAATCGCACTTGGTATAGTTTCTTGTTTGTTTTGCAGAGACATCATGAATTCAAGCTTCAAAGAGATTAGATGTTATATTGTGTCTTGTTTTGATGCATTTAATTCTATTTCTTTTGGTTTGTTACAAAATTGCCTGAAGAATTACCAAGATCCCAAGATGATGAACCGGGCAATTGCACTGGTTGTAGATTTTTGTTGTCATTTATTCTAGCCAATTTAACTTGTTAGAGCTTGGGCCAATATATATATATATATATATATATATATTGCTGAGTGTAGTTTGGAAGTAAACATGTCAATCCTACTTTCATGGGGAAGATCCGAAAAAAGATTTTACATACTAAATCATGAATTTAGTAAGTGCTTGTATTCTTCCTTTTTTTTTTCTTTTTTTTTTTGTTTTAGTAGTAAATATAATATAATGTTTAAAATGTATTATACGATTTTATATGGGATTTTCCCTTTTAAAGATGTATTCATGAATAGTTGTCTCCTTTAGTCCTACTGACAGGCCTGCATCCCATCTAATAGAAGGTCTATTGCACTTAAGGAAATTACGGCATTCAATATGAATGAGAAATTTAGGTAATTCAATATTAGGCAAGTTTCCATTCATGAAACTTGAAAATTATTAAAGTAGGATTCTCTTCTCCTATAACTCCATGGTTTGATGCCTGTTTACTTGGGGATGTCCTGGTGACGAATAGTGATTTCTTAATGGGGAATGTATAGTATCACTGTTAGCGGGATAGCCCATTTTTTTATAATCTTGTAACAAGCACAACCATATATAAATAGCACCCCATTGTTTGGGACGCCGGGTTGTGTTCCGGACGATAAAAATAAAATAAAATTTAATATTATTAGTTTCCCCTCCCAAAATGAGTATTTCAGGCACCACCCCAATTGAATTAGTAAAGCTACTCATCTATTCAACTAACCTTTTGTTCCTTTCTTTCTGTTAGGTTATGGAGAATATAGCCTTTGGGGCATTTTAGCGAGTAAGTAGATGATCGGTCATTTTTCAATTTTAAAGAACCCATATTATAAAAACATTTTCCTGAAGACAGTACAAAAGTTCTTGAAAAACAGCTCTAAAAAGCCAACTGTCAATACACAGGTTAAAATTTATTTATTAAAATTTTAATTCCTCATCTGGCATTCCTAGTGTTTCTCTTGCATAAACAGGTAGTGCACTTAATGTCCTTTCTTGTTGTTTAAATTATACTCCATGGATTATCGATTCTGGAGCCTCTGATCATATGACCAACCTTTCCAATCTTTTTAGCATTTACTCACTATGTTCTGGCCTTGAAAAAATTAGAATTGCAGATGGTAATTTCTCACTTATTACAGGAAAAAGGTTTGATAAAATTATCCGAGAATATAGATCTTAAATCTGTTCTCCATGTCCCTAAACTAGCCTGTAACCTTTTGTTTGTGAGTAAACTAACCAAATAATCTAATTGTCGTGTAATTTTCTGTGATTCTTACTGTGAATTTCAGGACTGGAGCTCGGGGAAGAAGATTGACAGTGCTAAGATAATAGATGGACTTTACTACTTTGATGTGGACTTCTCCAGTAATAAAAAGGCTCAGGGCCTTAGTAGTGTTAGTTCTAACTTTGTTTACAAACAAATAATGTTTTGGCATTTAAGACTAGGACTTCCTATCTTTCCATATCTTAAACATTTGTTTCCTGCTTTACTTAAAGGTTTAGATTGTTCATCGTTCTATTGTGAGAATTGTTGCTTATTTAAGAGTCATCGTACTACTTATTTGCTAAAACCTTATACTTCTTCAAAATCATTTTATTTAATACATAGTGATGTTTGGGGACCTTCAAGAGTCACTACTATCTGTAGAAAAAAATGTGTTGGGTTTATTTGATGAATGAAAAGTCTGAGGTTGAAAGATTTTAAAGAATTTTTACATAATGGTTGAACTTAGTTTCAAGCAAAAATTAGCATTTTTCACACCGATAATGGAACCGAGTATTTTAATAAAATTTTGGGGAGTTTTTTGAAAGAAAAAGGTATCCATCATCAGTCTACATGTGTGGATACCCTTCAACAAAACGGAATTGTTGAAAGAAAAAATAAACATTTACTTGAAGTGGCTCGTGAAATAATATTTTCAATGAATGTTCCAACATATCTTTGGGGGGAAGCTGTTTTAACAACTTCGTATTTGATTAATAGAATGCCTTCAAGTGTTTTAAAATATAACACGCCATTAGAATGTTTCAAAAGAAATTTTCCATTATCAAGGATATACTCAGATTTACCTCTAAAGGTTTTTGACTGCATTGCTTTTGTTCATATATCCAATAATACTAGGTCCAAACTCAATCTACGAGTTGAAAAATGTGTTTTCATAGGGTATGCTTTAATCAAAAGGGATATAAGTGCTATAATCCCCAAAGAAGAAAATTTTATGCAAGTATGAATGTCTCTTTCTTTGGAAATAAATCATACTTTCCCAAAAATTCTCTTCAGGGGGAGAATGAGGTGATGGAAGAAATTTTTTGGGATTTATTTCCTACTCCTTTACTAAATGTGATTTTGACTCCTTCACCTCATCCTACTGTTATTCCAGAAATTCAAAGTCAGGAATAATGTGATAAAACCAATGAAAACAATGAAGGAAATCTTAGTCATAGAGTGCCAAAC